TTCTGGAGTTTTCTCACTTGTCCTGAAGGAAAATGTGGATTCTGGTTGTCCTGAAGGAAAATGTGAATTCTGGAGCTGTGTTCCTGTAGCCTGTGTGCATCTCCCCCACGCTGCTGCTGTGGAGCACAGACCCATTCCCAAGAGCCCATCCCTGCTCCCCACTCTCCATCTGTCTCAAATCTGGCTGCTCTCTCCTGTTTTCATCTGCTCTGCGCTTTCTCCTCCATCCAACCCTCACTTCCTCGCTCTCAGCGCCTCCCTCCTCTCCAGCCTGCCCCAGTTCTCCTCACTTGGAAAGGGCCCACGAGGAGCAGCAAAGTCCAACTCCTGGCCAAGGAATCAACCCCAGGAATCCCACTCTGGGCCATTTTCCCTGCTGGTGTCTTCTCATTCCCACTGGTCCTCCCATCCTTCGTGCTCCTCATTTTATCTCCCTGTCCACTGAGGTGACAGAGCTGCTCCTCTGGTTGTCCCCAGTTCAGGGCAGGGATCTCCATGTACAGGTAGAGAAGAACAGCAGCTGTGTGTAAAACTGATCCCTGGAGCAGAAAAGAAACCCTGGGAGCAGCACAAGAGAAAACCTGGGAGCAGCAGGAAAACTCTGGGAGCAATAGGAGACAAATCCTTGGTGAAGGAGACAAATCCTAGGAGCAGCAAAAAAACCCTGCGCACTAATTCCACCTTCCTAGACCCCAATCCCACCTTCCTAGACAGGAATTCAAAGCACAACTATTTTGTGGAGCACCTTGGGCTCGTTCTCCAGCTGGAGAAGTTGTGGAAAAGGGAGATGGAGTTCTACTAGAGCAGCAGAAAGCTCCAGCCCAGAAACCAAAGGGAAGAGAGAGGAGGGAAAGGGGGGTTTAATGCTGTGCATGGCAGTGGGAATGACATCAAATTTGCTCCAGATTGCTCTGGAAATTAGCAGGAGGTGAGAAATAACAGGGAGAGATGTCTCATTCCAGCTGACATGGCTTGGTTATTGGGAAATTCCAGAAGAATTTCAATGTTTATCTCTTTTTCCCAAGAAGCACCTCCTGGGGAAGGTGTCTGAGCTCTCTCTGGCGAGGTTTTTGTGGCTGTTTTGTGGTTGTTTTGTTTTTCTCTGTGCGTTCCAAGGCTGCAGCTGTGCTCGGTGCCACCTGGGGTGCTGAGCGTGGAGCAGTCTGTGCCCTGCCCCGAGCTGCGTGTGGTGTCTGGAGCAGGACAGACAGACAGACAGGTGTGAGAGATGAGGCTTGTCACCTCCCTGCCTCGTGTGGCAGCTGGGGGTGCAGCAAGGGCGAGCCCAAGGGCAGCTGGGCTGGCACCAGAGCCAGAATCCCAATTATGGGAACGCTCCGGAGCCCAGAACAGCTCGCTGGGTTGTGCAGCTAAAAGCAAAATAACCTCAGCCATGAGTGCCTTCGTGGTCTCATCTTTTACCTTTGCTCTCAGAGGTGGGACTGTGTGTGTGTTTGTGCACAAAATGGTGAATTTCCTTCTGCTGGGTGTTTTTGGGTGAGGATGGAGCTGTCTCTGCCCCTCCTGCAGCATGGACACCCTCCCAAGTGGGTTCTCCATGGGGAACGTGGGGCTCAGACCATGGGGCTGTTTGAGGAGGTGGAACAGGAGTGATGAGCACAAGGAGGGCTGTGCTGGTGGGCAGGGCTTGCAGCTCACTGGGTTGTGCAGCTAAAAGCAAAATAACCTCAGCCATGAGTGCCTTCATGGTCTCATCTTTTACCTTTGCTCTCAGAGGTGGAGCTGTGTGTGTGTTTGTGCACAAAATGGTGAATTTGCTGGATGGTTTTGGGTGAGGATAGAAGGTGTCTCTGCCTCTCCTGCAGCATGGACATGCTCCCAAGTGGGTTCTCCATGGGGAATGTGGGGCTCAGACCACTGGAGGTGGAGGAATGATGAGGTGGAGAGGAATGATGAGCACAAGGAGGGCTGTGCTGGTGGGCAGGGGCTGCAGCTCATCAGGCAGCAGGAAATGCCCTCCCTGCTGTGCCCCTGCTGCACCCTCGGCTCTGGGGCACTCTGGGGGCCAGGGGCCAGCCTGCCCCATCCCCAGTGGGGTGATGAGGGTTGGTCACCAGCCAGGGAGGAGCTGCAGCTCTGTGTGGGTCAGCAGGGACGTGGTGTGGGCAAGGCAGGGACGTGGTGCCCATCCATAACTGCTTCTTCCTTCTTCTCCCCCTGCTGCCATCAGCTGTCAGCTCGGATCTGTGGAGCTCATTTGTTCTCCTGCCTGTCTCCCACCCCTCAGAGCACCTCTGGGCTCCCCATCCCTCTCCCTGTCTGTGTTTTGTGATGTTTCAGACAGGCATATGGTGGCTGGGCTGTCTCCCTCGCTGCTCGTCCATCACCGCCCATCCAGCGTGGCAGCCCCTCCTGAGGGGCTCTGGTGGAAAGGCTGAGCTGTCCCCTCCTTCTCCCCACTCCTACACCCCTCCAGCCTCGCTGCTGCAGAGCTCCCAGCCTGTTGTGTCATCCTCACAGGGAGATGCTGGCTGGTTTTTACATGACTGTGTTCCAGTGGCTTTTCCTGCCTTGGTGTCGCGGGGACGGGGGAAGGAGGAGAGGGGAGAGGAGGCAGCAGCAGAATCTTTGTGTTTGGTGAGGAACTGCCTGGGTGTGCCGTGGGCTGGGGGAGGAGGAGGAGACCCTCACCCTTCTCACCTGAGCCCCAAAATCCTGGGGAGCACAGGGCATGAGAACCAGGGGGGATCTCTCTGTTCTCCATGTGCCAGTGGAGCTCAGGGCACAGGAATCAGGGGGGATCTCTCTCTATTCAAGGGCGCAGAAACCAGGAGGGATCTCTGTCTATCCAAGGGCACAGGAATCAGGGGGGATCTCTGTCCATAGGAACCAGAAGGGATCTCTGTTCTTGTGTGCTGGTGGAGCTGCCAGAAGTGTTCTCTCTGTCCACAGCCACGGGAATCAGGAGGGATCTCTCTATATCCAAAGCCACAGGAATCAGGAGGGATCTCTCCATCCAAGGGCAGTTTTCAAATCAACACTTTCGCTCTGATTCTCACCCATTTTCCAAGCGAGCAGTAAAATCCAGTGGGTTGGGTGCTGGGGATTTTTTATTTGGCTCCTTGTGTCTAACAGTGAGTCCCTTGTGGGCAGCTGGGAGTTGCAGGAGCTCAGGAAAGGCCCCAAGCACAGAGAGCTCAGCCCCAATCACCCCACCCTGACCCCACAAAGGGATGCTGAGCCATGGCTCCAAATTCAGTGGGTTTTTTAAGCACCATCCCGTTCTGAGGACGGAAATAGAACCTTGTTTTTCTCCTCGTCTCAGCTCTCATCAGGCAGCCTGCACCCATTTAAATGTATACGTGACATTAAGGTTTATTAGGGGCTTTTATTTTAGGAAATGAACTCGCATCAATAAAGTGTTCTTAAAAGCCCTGGATGTTTTTAGCTGTACCTTCAGCATTGACTTCTGCAAACCCTTCAGATATCGAGCGGAGGTGAGGGCAGGAAGGAAGTCGGGGCCAGAGTGAGCATTTATATCTTAGCCTGGAGCAAAGTTTGGGTTTTACCTTTCTCAGATGCAAGACAGATCCCCCAGCGCCAGCTCCTCCAGTGGGACCTGCCTGATAACCTTTAGCTGTAACATTGCAAAGAAGGCTCTGACCTCTAAATATAGATTTGGATATTTATAAATGCACTGCTTTGTACACACAGCATTCGGTGGGACGTAAACAGCTCCAGCAAATTGTATTTACCTCCAGCATGGAAACAAATGCTTGATTGCATCACATGAGCTTGCTCAGTGCCTTTTATTTATATACTGCTGGCCAGGGAAGGGAGAAGGTTTTCTTTTGTCTTTTGACCCCTAAAAGACCCTGGAGACTTCTCCTCAGCTCCCCTTTGCCCCCATGGGGGAAAGCTGTTTGCATCTTATTTTATAGCCCCCCGAGTATGAACAGATAAATACACACATCTCAGAGTCACATGCTCTGCTCTCCTCAAGAAAACAGACGGCAGCTTTATGATCTGAGTGATTTTATTTGAAGACAGCTGTTGGCCTTGTGATTTAAATATTTCAATAAATTTTAAACTAACGAGACGAGAGGAAAGCGTTCGAGGAAAACAGGTTAGAGCATGAAAGGAGGGTTTCCAGAGGGTGGGGGCAATGTGGGCTGTGCACAAACACTGCTGGCCTTGGCTTCCTCTCGTGGGCACCTCAGAGGGCCCATGCCAGGCTCTGCCATCCCTGCAGAGCTGCTCTGAGGGCAGGGGGATGCTGATGGGACCAGAAAGGGGCTGAGGGAGAGATGCTCAGGGCTCAGGTGTTGGTTTTTTTCAGGTGTATTGAGGCATTGCTGCCCTGCTGCTGGCTCTGGGGAGGCTGCAGGAGACCCTGGCTCTCTCTAGATAAAAAAAAGGACACAAATGAGCCCCAATTTTAACATCCCTCATAATCTTACTCCTACTCATTAACCTTCTAGGACCACTACCCTACATGTTCACCCCAGCCACCCAACTATCTATAAACTTGGCCCTAGCCTTCCCCATGGGAGTCTTTTCTGGGAGTCTCGTGCTGGGCATCTATTTCAAGGTCCTTCTCCCACCTTCTCCCCTTCCCTGGCTTTGTTCCTGTAAATCTCCCCTGTTCTTGGTGTTTTGGTGTGTCCAAGGAGCTGGGAAGTGCAATTCACTGTTTCTAAGTGTTGTTTTCAGCTCTACCAGCTTCTGGTGATGCTCATTAGATGCCTTTCGCAAGGGCAATTTCCCCTGTACAAAACAATTTAAAAGTCCACTTTTCAGGAGTAAAAAGAGGTTTTGCAGCATTGAAATCTCTTTGAAGGATCAGGCCCTTCATCATTTTCTGCTGGAGCTACTTCATATGTAGAGTGGAGGTAAAAGCTGCTCTGAAAAAGGCCAAGAGGTTTAATTTCAACTGGGATCATTAAGAGCAACAACAACACTACTGTTAACTAAAAACCGTGTTTATTGGGGTTTGTCTTTGTGAGTGCCACTGATGGTGTTTCCTTTCTGTCCCCAAGGTCCCCCTGTGTTCATTAAGAAGCCTGTGGACCAAATTGGAGTGTCAGGAGGGGTGGCCTCCTTCGTGTGCCAAGCCACTGGAGACCCAAAGCCAAGGGTCACCTGGAACAAGAAAGGGAAGAAAGTCAACTCTCAGAGGTTTGAGGTAAGAGATGTCCTTGAAATCTGGTGTCACTGGGAAGAGAGACTGACACAAAGCAGCCCCTGCTCCTCTCTGGCCACCCCAGAACTGATAATAAAGGGAAATTTGGAAGGGGAGGAGTTTTAACAGCAGGAGGGGAGAAATGCAAGCTCTTGGCCATGTCAACAGCTGGGTTTGTTCCAAAGCAAGAGAGAACTTGGCTCAATTATGTTACTGAACATTTTTATTTTGTTTTGTTGGGTTTTCCCCCTTCCTGGGATGTAATATAACTTCCTGCTTTTCTAAGAAACCCCAGCTAAGCTGGTGGTGCTTCAGCTCTGTAGATGTACCTTTCATACCCATCTGTGGCTCAGCATTTCAACCCTGGGACAGTCTGGAGTAAACACTGCAGTTGTTGGCAGCCAGACCCAAGCAATTGGCATTGTTTAGATAGAAATGAGAGCAGAGGAGCAAGGACTGGGAGGTCATGCTGTGGAATTTGCTGTGGGACTCAGCCCTGCCAGGCAGCTGTGTGCTCAGAGGAGCTCTGTGCTGTCAGCTGCCCCTGCAGATGGAGGAGCAAGGCAGGGGTCCATTTTTATTTTGTTTTCCTTTGGTCTGTCTCGTCCTCCTTCACCCCAGTTGTGCTCTGAACGCCCCCCCAACCCCACCCCATCACCATGGCTTGTTCTTTCAGAGCTTTTGGGATGCACCCTGGGGGTTTGGTGGGTCAGTGGTCACTGGCAGGGTTTGGCTGTGGCACTGATGATGTGTGTGTGGTGTCTCTCAGAAGCAGCAGCCCAGGGCACTGATCCTGTGTGTCTCTCTCTGTCCCCAGACCATTGAGTTTGATGAGAGTGCAGGAGCTGTTCTGAGGATCCAGCCCCTGAGGACCCCCCGGGATGAGAACATTTACGAGTGTGTTGCTCAGAACCCCCATGGGGAGGTCACTGTCCACGCCAAGCTCACCGTGCTCCGAGGTAAGAACCTGCCCCAGCTGGCTGGGAGGGCTCTCAAAAACCCATGGCTGAGGTTCAAAATCCTCCTTTTTTGGAGGTTTGGTTGGGTTTGTTGAGTTGGGTTTGTTGGGTTTGGTTGAGCTGGTTGGGGTTTTTGGGTTGGGTTTGTTGGGTTTCATTGAGTTTGTTGGGTTGGGTTTGTTGGGTTTGGTTGGGTTGGGTTTGTTGGGTTGGGTTGGGTTTGTTGGGTTGGGTTGGGTTTGTTGGATTTTGTTTGGTGTGGTTGAGTTTGTTGGGTTTGGTTGGGTTTGTTGGATTGGGTTGAGTTTGTTGGGTTGGGTTTGTTGGGTTTGTTGGGTTTGTTGGGTTTGTTGGGTTTGTTGGGTTTGTTGGGTTTGTTGGGTTTGTTGGATTTTGTTGCGTTGAGTTTGTTGCGTTTAGTTGGGTTTGTTGGATTTGGTTTGTTGGGTTTGGTTGGGTTTTTTGGGTTTGGTTGGGTTTGTTGCATTTGCGTTTGTCGTTTGGGTTTGGTTGGGTTTGTTGCATTTGCGTTTGTCGGATTTGGTTTGTTGGATTTCGTTGGGGTTGGTTGCTTTTGTTGGATTTTGTTGTGTTTGGTTTGGTTTGTTCTGACCCATCAGATCTGTTTGCTGTTCTTTACCCCCAAGAGGAATAAAAATGCTGTGTAAGAAACAGAGCTAAACCTCCCTTCAGGGGGTTTGACTGATGATGTGCTGGGGTTCCTTCCACCCTGAGTTATCCCATGACCCTTATGATCTTCCTCCCCTCCAAAAATTCCTTCCCCAGATTCAGGAGCAGCACCAGGAGCTCCCCATTACACACAGAAATGCAGCTCCAGGAAAACCCTCACTGAGGAACCACTTAATGGGCTGGGGTTAAGGCCATTATTATGGATCTGCATGGGTTTTCACACATTCGGTAGCAGCACAAACGTTTTTCCTTGTGCAGGATTCCTGTTGTGCCTCTCTGGGCTTCTCCCCTCTTCCCAGAGGTCCTTGGCTCTGTGCACTCTCCAAGAAAACAATTCCCTTCTCCATTTTGTTCTGGTTCTTTTTCCCACTTGTCCCCGTTACAGAGGATGTTTACGTGGATGCCTCCCTCGTGTCATCTGTTTGAAATATGCTCCCTGAACTGGATGTGGGGGAGGGAACAATATGCTGCTGCTCTGGATGCCTCTGGATGTTTGCTGTTATTGCCCTGGAGATCCCCAAAATCACTGTGGGCGAGGCTGGGTGCTGAAAGTGACCCATTTGAGGGTTTGGAGCACCCAGAGATGTTCTCTGTTCAAAGCACAGGGCAGTGCAGGTGATCCTGGTGGGAACTGGGGTGGTGGATTAGAGCCTGAGAGCTCCCAAGGGGAATTTAGCTTAGCTGTGGATGAAGCCATGGGTGTTTGAGCACCAGCAGCAGTAAAAGCCATTCTCTCTGCAGTGAACAATCCCAGGAGCTGCAGGCAGGAGCCCCACAGGGCCAAGGGGTAGCTCTGCCTGTGGGGCAGTCAGAAACTCCAGTGTTCCCTCCAGGAGCAGCTCAAATCCATAAATATCCATAAATTTTGGATATTTATGTTTGAGCAGGCAACGAGCACATCCTTCATAGTTGCAGAGCAGAATTGGTGTGTGGCTCCCCAAAGTGCAGCAGGGAATTCACACCAGACACGAGGGGCACAAGGCAAAGCCCCCAGCCTCCCTTTTCAGCTGGGAATATCCCTGCCTGGGCTCGGTGCTGTCAGGATTTTGGCTGCCTGGGAGCGTGGGGGGCCGTGGTCCAGTCATGCCTGACAGATTTGTGTAGGTGCCTTAGATGTGTGTGCAGCTCCTGTGCCTGGCATGGCATTTAACCTTCTGTTGGAGGGAGGTGGTGGGATGGAGCTGTCAGGAGCTTGGAACGGTGCAGTGTGACAGGAGTGTGTCTAACTGTGGTTATCCCAGAGGGTGGGAGCCTTATTCTTCACACTTATTCCCATGGATTCCTTTGGAGCTGTGACAGCCTGGGAGAAGGGCCCCTGCAGTGATATTCAGAGTTTGTATCCCTTAAATTCAGCTGCAAGCAGTGGCAGGGGAAGGTTCTGCCCCTGCAGTGATATTCAGAGCTTTTACCCCTTGAATTCAGCTGCAAGCAGTGGCAAGGGAAGGTTCTGCCCCTGCAGTGAAATTCAGAGTTTTTACCCCTTAAATGACTCCGTCCTCCATCAACCCTCAGCTCTCACACAGCAGAGTTTGTCTCCTCTTTATCTGCGTTTTCAAGTGCTGGGGGTACCTGTTCATGGAACCTGGGGGAGCAGGAATCACCTGCAGGGTGGGCAAGGCAATGCTGAACAGCATCAGGGAAGCAGATTTTGTAGCTTCTCTCTAAGCTGGAGTTACTCCATCCTCCATCACTCCTCAGCTCTCACACAGCAGAGTTTGTCTCCTCTTTATCTGTGTTTTCAAGTGCTGGGGAAGTGAAAAGCACCGAGCCAAAGGCACTGATGTGCACAATGACAAAGTGAGCATGCTGGCATCCACTCCTCTCCTGTTCCTCCCCTCTTCTGCACTCACCCACTCTCCTGTTTGTCTTTTCTCTCCCTGCTCAGCCTCCTCCTGTGTGTCTCTGCTCTGGCTTGCAGAGCTGGTGCTGAGCAGGGAGAGGGGGCTGCTCCACAGCCTGCAGATGGATGGGAGCTGTCACTGGCAGAACCTGTTACCTTGGCACGCTCTGCAGGGTGGAAACCTGAGCCCAGCTGCTGCCAACAGCTCGGGGGGCTCTGGGGCAGCTGTGCAGCCTGTGCAGTGTGCTCCCACACATTCCTGGGGGGGCCTTCCTGCATTTCCAGCACTGCAGCATGTCCTCAGCCTCCTAACAGCAAATAGCACAGAAAATATTTCCTCTTTCAGAAGAGAAAACAATCCATCTTTCCCTACTGAAGGGATTGAGCATAAGCCCCTCTATGATTACTCCTGGATCAGACCCTGGTGGAAACCCACATGCCTTCACTTGAAAATCTTCACTTGAAAACAGAAAACTGCAGGAGAGGAAGCCTTGGGGAGCCCCTGAGCAGCAGAGCTGGGATGGACACTGCTCAACTCACACAGTCCCTTCCCAGCTTGTCCTTCCTGCTCTGCTTCTCTGGGATCCCACTTTGGGGGGGCTCCGGGCACTGGCTGTTCTTCCACAGCTGGCTGGAGACACTGCCTGCAAACCTGACTCCTGCAGGGCTCGGAGAAAAGGAAAGAAAGTGGATTTTGGAAGCATTTTCCAGTTGGTTTTGACTCCAGCTGTTGTTATTTTTCGTTGTAGCTTAGGCAGGAAGGAAGGTTGTTGGCACAGGCACCCCAGCCCCTAGTTGGTGGAGATTCTCTAAGCTGCCCACTGCCAAAAAGGATATTTATATTTTTAATATAAAATATATAATAAAATATCTTATTTATATTACACATTTATATTACATGTAAATAGATGTAAATATCATATATAAATATAAATTTTAAATTAAAAGATAAAAAGATAAAAATACATTTATATATAAATATATTTATATATAAATATATAAATATAATATATATTATCTATAATTATAATATATAAAATATATAAAACTAATAAAATTAATAATATTTATAATTAACTAGATTTATAAATTTAAAGTATCTGCACCTCTTGGGATAGATACAGACTGAGAGGTTGTGGACTCCCCATCCCATGTGGTTTGTTGTTTTTTTGGGGGGTTTTTTTTGGTAATTGTTGGCTTTAAATCACAAAATGTAAACAAGAAGCAGCTCTGGATGCTCAGCCGAGAGTCCCATGGGAAAGGGAAGCTGCCCCCTCCAAAATGTTACCTTGCCATTTGGAAAATTCCTGGCAGCCTTTCTTCAAACTTGACTTGTTTTGCTTTCCTTGTAGTGACCTGAAAATTGGGTGACATTGACAGCAGATTAATTCTGTAGCTCCTGAATAACATCAAAGTAATTTTACCAGAGATGCCTGTGCAGGGAGGGTACCTGGGGACACGTTAGAGGAGGGAACACAGGCACTGCCTGCGCTGCTTTGGGGTGCACACACATATCTGAGGGTGCCTTTATTGCCTGGGAGCCCACAAATTTTAATAGCATTGTTAGGCTGTTACTGCTTTCACAGTGGAACCTGCAGCTCCAAAGAAATGGAATCGACAGACAGAGCACATTGCTGAGACTCCTCCCTGCATTGAAATTGGCTTTGGCTGGGCAGTAACAGAGAGCTGAGACTCAGGGACAGACACTTGGGTGGAAATAACTTGTTGATGTAATTTCACAAGGCACACAGTGCCAGGATACCTGGGGACAGGGCAGCTCTAGTGCTCATAAACATAATGAAAGGAGCAGGGACAGCTTCGAGAGTGCTGGGTTTTGATTTCGATCCTGATTAAAACTTGTGGCACTCGAGCTGCTCCATCCCTGCATTCCTGCTTCCTCCACCCTGAATGAGGACAGTAGAGACCAGCCAGCATCCACATCTCCAGAGGAGAGTGAAAAATCCCTCCTCCTGTTCCCTTCAGAGCATCCTCATGGCTCTGTGCACCGGCTCCATGGCACGGCTGCTCACGCTCACACCCTCCTCCTCTAAATTATTAAACAACTGTGTACACCCTGCGGGGAAAAGAGCACAGCAACACCCTCTTTATCTTCCTTAATCATCCTCATTTCCAGCACAGCTAATTAGCTACGCCCAGAGTGACAGGGGGCCAGAGCAGCCCTGTGCCCTGGCTGGGGCTGGGTGTGTGCAGCTGGGCTGGGTCCAGGCACAGGACCTGTCCCCAGGTGGGATTTATTGTAAATGACAGCTGAAGTGCTCCTCTCTCTCTTCCCCTGCCTCTCCTCATCCCTCCTCCCCTGTTCTTTCTCACCCTCCTTTGCTCAGTGGGGCATTGAGGTGTTTCACCACTCAGGGGGCTGTGAGAGCTGGGTGTGAGTCAGGGATGGACAAAGGTGTGGGGCTGCTTCTCCCCATGGCATGAACAAGGTGTGGGGCTGCTCCCTTCCCATGGCATGAACAATGTGTGGGGCTGCTCCTTCCCATGGCAGATCCATGAACAAGGTGTGGAGTGTGGGGATGCTCCTTCCCATAGCATGACCAAGGTGTGGAGCTGCTCCTTTACCTGGCATGACGAAGGTGTGGGGCTGTTCCTTTCCCTGGCATGACCAAGGTGTGGGGCTCCTCCTTCACCTGGCAGCCCCATGAACAAGGTGTGGGGCTGTTCTTTCACCTGGCAGCTCCATGAACGATGTATGGGCCTGCTTCTCCCCATGGCATGAACAAGGTGTGAGGTGTGGGGCTGTTCCTTCCCATGGCATGAACAAGGTGTGGGGCTGTTCCATGAACAAAGTGTGGGGCTGCTCTCTCATATGGCAGCTCCATGAACAAGGTGTGGGACTGTTCTTTCACCTGGCAGCTCTATGAACGATGTATGGGCCTGCTCCTTCCCATAGCATGAACAAGGCGTGGGGCGGTTCCTTCCTATGGCATGAACAAGGTATGGGGCTGCTTCTCCCCATGGCATGAACAAGGTGTGGGGCTGCTCCTTTCCCTGGCATGACCAAGGTGTGGGGCTGATCCCTTCCCATAGCATGAACAAGGTGTGGGGCTGTTCCTTCTCATGGTATGAACAAGGTGTGGGGCTGCTCCATGACCAAGGTGTGGGGCTGCTTCTCCCCATGTCATGAACAAGGTGTGGGGCTGCTCCTTGCCATGGCAGCTGCACCTCAGGAAAGCTCTGCCTGCAGGAGCCAGCACAGCCCCACCAGCAGCAGCAGCTGCCCAGATGTGCCCTTGAAGCATCTCCAGCTTGTGCCTGCCTCTTTTGTTCCTGCAGTTGCCTTCAGGAGGAGATTTCACAACCAGAACCGTTCCTTGTTTATTCAGGGACAGCTCTGGGGGTGCTGGGGATGGGTGGGGAGGGTGGCAGGGCACGTGTGTGCACGTCCTGGGGGATTGCAATGAGGCTGTAGCTGCGTTGTTACAGGGAACCCAGCTGGTAGGGGATGGAGCAGCTCCACTTCCCTGAGAGGAAGGAAATGTGAGCCCTTGAATGGGAGCAGCCTGTGATGTTCAGAGATGCTTCCCCTGCTCGTCTGATCCTCGAATCCGATCACGCCTCCAGTCGCAGTTGTTTTAATTAAACTCAGAGGAATTCTGCACATTGTGCTGCAAGATGAACGTTTTTGTTTAATTAGGAGCACTCGGTAATGATGGTTGTAGAGGCCTCCCCCAGCACACACACACTCACATACACACACTCATGTGCACACACACCCCACCAGGGCTGCTCCCTCTGTGCAGGAAGGGGCAGGGGCTGCAGCAGGTGGAGCAGCATCACCAGGGAGCAGGAGGAAAGCAGGAGCAAAGCAGGAGGAGAGCAGGGATCAATAGTGATGTCATCTGCAGCCAATGCGGCTCTGGCTGCTCAGCCTCCCACGGCTGCAGGGGGAGAGCAGGGAGGGAGGGAGGGCCATTAAAGCCTGCCTGAGAGCTGAGCACAGGCACAGCAATCCCCAGAGCCCCTGTGCTGGCCTGACAGCGCTGCTGGGGGCTACAGGAATGCTCGGTTTGGGGGGTCCTGCAGAGCCCCAGCACAGCCCAGGGAGCTCACAGGGCTGGGGCAGTCCCTGCTTAGAGATGTGTGTGAACAGCCCCAGTTTATGGTGCAAAATTCTGCTTTAGAGGTGCTTCAGATGCACCAAAACAGCTTTGAACTGAAGGAGTGATGGTTTAGATTAGATATCAGGGAGGAATTCCTGGCTGGCAGGGTGGGCAGGCCCTGGCACAGGTGCCCAGAGCAGCACCAGGAGCCCTGGCAGTGCCCAAGGCCAGGCTGGACATTGGGTCTGGAGCAGCCTGGGACAGTGAAGGTGTCCCTGCCATGGCAGGGGTGGCACTGGGTGGGTTCTGAGGTCCCCTCCAGCCCAAACCACTCTGGGATTCCATGAAAAGCACCCACCACTGGGTTTCTCCCTTGTCCTGCTGTCTCTGGGCTGTGCCATTTGTATTTGGCTCCATTCCTCCTGATCCACCATGTGCCAGCCCTAGGAAGGAAGCTCTGGGTGTGTTTGCAGTTGGCAGGATTGTTCCCAACAAAGGCCAGCCCCACCTCAGTGCCACTGTGAGAGCTCCCACCGCTGTCACTGGGGGGCTGGTTGTGATGGATGTTCATTTTTTAAAAATCCCGCCTCTTTTTAATTCCCTGCATTATTTCCCTTCTGTTCCCTCACCTGTTTTGGGATGGATTCCATGCCACAGACTCCCAGGGCTGTGATTCCCTGACATGGCTCGTTGGAGATGACAGAGGAACCCTCCCAAACCTCACCCTGCTGCTGGCATCCTCCTGCCAGGCTTCCCTCCCACAAACATGTTCTGGGGGAAAAAAATGCACTTTGCTGAGATGAGACAGCTCTGCCCATCCCAGAGTGAGGGGCTGGGTCAGATATTGCTGGGGAAACACTGGGGTTTCATAGGGGTTACCACAAATTGTCAGCATTGTTGGGATTGCCCTCCTCACCCTCATTAGTGAAGGCAAGAGCAGCACTGAGAGGAGCAGGAAGCTCACTTGAGCCTCTCTGCTGGGTGCTGGTGCCACTGTTCTTGGAGGGCAGCAGCACTCAGAATTAATAAACCCAAAAATCACACCCTGGCTGACAGCACTTGGCATGCTGCTGTTGTGTGTGTGTCCCCTCTGGTCACTGCAGCTGAAGGAGGAGATTTTCCTCTCCTTTCTCTGCCAGTCCCACTGTCTTTGACAGCATTTCCACGTGGGTTCTTCCATTATTTCTTTTGTGCAGTGTGTTTTGTACTGGGGGGTTTGGAGGGAAAAATTCCTGTTACCTGTGACTGCTCAGAGGCACAAGGGAAAATGGCCTCAAGTTGCTCCAAATTGCTCAGGTTGGGTATCAGGAAACATTTATTCACTGAGAAAGGGAATAAACATAGAACACAGATATGAATAAACATAGAACAGGCTGCCTGGTGGAGTCACCATCCCTGGATGTGTTCAAAAAATGAGTTGACGTGGCACTTGAGGACATGGTGGATCTGGGAGGCCTTTTCCAACCTTAATGGCTCTCTAATTCCATTCTGCATTCCCCAAAGGGTTTTAAAAGGTTTCACTTAAATG